CAAAAAATGAGCCAGGGAAGTTACTGCTATTCAAACAGTAATACTGAGTTACCACGGCATTGCATTGTATGCTGGTGTGAGAGAGTGCAAGGTTACCAATTACAAAAGTTCAGAGATGTGAGATAGAATTTTTCCAGGCAGTAAGGTTGTGTCGTTGTATGCTTCCCTCCCCCCCCCATCTCCCCTCGCCCCCTGTGATTTTACCCCAACCATTGCCTGCAGTGCAGGGACACACAGGGCTCTCAAGTTCTTCCCAAGACTGCCTTATCCCAAGAGCTGGCCAAGGCAGAGGGGGGCTTTCTGTCCAGCATCACTCTGAGCTGTCACACTTCAGCATCAAATACTTCAAAGAGCACGTGCGTGTCTGCCATTGAGCATTTTACACCTGAGCAACTAGCACAAAGAAAGCTGCTACAAATGTTTGATGTATAACCATTTTTGTTAGATACTGAAAACATAGAAAAAGCTATTATGATGCAATGATCTTCCAGGGCTTGTTTTTTTCACCCTTCAACCTGCAGAACGATTTTTTTATTGCCAAACAAATAGAGGGCTGTGTTGCAAGTAGATTTTATGTGTAAGATCTTTAAGCTCCTTTTATAGGGGGCAAACTGACCAGAGTCCTAAACTGGGTTTAGACAGTCTGGCTTCTATTCCTGCTCTCTCCACTGGCTGCTAAGCAATTGTCGAAGGACTTTGCTCTGTAGTGTGCTCTCCCCCTCCTCCCTTCCATTTGGAACTGAGGTATTGATAACATCCTAGGATATATATTTTAATTAACTTTTACAAGCTATTAGAGTTGCTAACCCCCTAGCTAGGATTCCTTTGGGTTTTTGTTTGTTTGGGGTTCTCAGAGCTTGGCGAGGGGACAAATCAATCCATCTGTCAATCTGTATAAGCAATTAAAAAGACTAACACCTCAGCTCACATCAGTCAATATAACTTTACTGGTGTGATTGGAAGCAAGCTGGATGAGGCTCATGGAAAGCTTCCTGCTTTGCAATATAATTCTGTTAGATGCTACTCAGTACCTCCGGGCCTTTGTTAACAGTTGAAATTATGCTATTGTGGGATCTTCAACAGCCTGTGTGCTCTGGGTTTGAGGCTGAAGTTTCTGAAGTTTCATTGTGAAATTGAATTTTCCTAAAGAGAAGCTGCATTTGCAGGTGTTTTACAGCTGAATCTTTCCTTATGTAGCTGCCATTTTTAAGGGTAATTACTAGCCTGGAGAATGCTTATTTGATTTCATTGCTCACATCTAGGAGTCAGTTATCTGACTGTCACACAAAGGATGTAATGGACACAGTGTTCCTAAGCTGTGACAGAAACCCAAGTCACACAGTTGTGTTTTTGTGAGATGAGTCCCAGCAAATCCATAGAACATCTGTGCTGGCTGCTAATAACTGCTTTCAAGATGACATGCATTTTGCAAACTGAATTATTTGAAAACTTTTCTGAGCTGTTTGAGCATGGAGGTCTTTCAGAAAGAAAACAGCTCCACCTACTGCTAACAATTAGTTTTTGGTGTAGTGAAATACTAAGAGTGGCTTCTTGAGTTTTGCTTTTAATCAAAAGTATATATTCCTCCTGTGGCTGCTTCACGCCAGCTAGAGTTTCTTTATAAACAAAAGCAGCTTGTTTTGTGTTCCACTACAATATGTCAATTTAGAACAGGCAGTATTTGTTAAATGGATTTCTTATTAAAACTTAAAATCAAAACTTGTGGTTCAACATACAAGAGTGATTCAAAAAATAACTTCATAAACAGGCATGCATGAGACACAAATTCTAGTTCCTAAGACTGATGTACTTAGTGCTCTGCCAAATTATCTATTAACCCTATTATATCAGTGATTACAAACCAAGCAGAGATCAGGTGTTCATGTGTGCTTACTACAAATGTAATAAGTAGCTGCTTTTGGACTTCATGAATTAAAAGTAGGATTGAACCCATGAAAAATCTAGTTTCCCAGTAATAAGTAATAGGTAGAAACTGGATGGATTTGGTTTGTTAATTTTCAGCTATTGGAAACTTAGCTACCAGCACCTATGGGATCCACTATCAGGCTGGGCTGAGTGTATAAACCAGGTTGTCTTGCCTAGATGATTTGGTCTCTTTTTTTCCTTTTTTAGGTGAAAAGCATATGATTCAGCATATGATTTTTAGGTGAAAAGCATATGATTTATGGGCAGAAACTGAACCACAGGAAGTTCCATCTGAACCTGAGAAAAAACTTCTTCACTGTGAGGGTGACAGAGCATTGGAACAGGTTGCCCAGAGAGGTGGTGGAGTCTCCTTCGCTGGAGATATTCAAAAGCCGTCTGGACGTGATCCTGGGCAATATGCTCTAGGTGACCCTGCTTGAGCAGGGAGGTTGGACTAGATGATCTCCAGAGGTCCCTTCCAACCTAAACGATTCTGTGATTCTGTGATTCTGTGATTCTGTGATTATTTTTCCATACTTAAACGAAGCAATGCATGTGATATACTGGGGAGGGAGGCTCTGTCTTTCTAGTGAGGTGGTTCCTGCTTTTTTTTAATATATTTTGTTCTCCAAAATATTAGTTAAAAAAAGAGGCCACTTGGGTTTTGGGGAGGGGGCTGGTGAGGAAGAGGAAGAATATGGTCGTTTGATGGGCACATTTGAATGGCATTAGTAGATGTGATATTGCCAGTCAGATCCTGGAAGCCCAGAATGTCACCTAGATCATAAAGCTGTCAAAGTTTTTGAAAGATCAGTCCTGGAAATGATTTGTTTTCACTTGCTTGGGCAAACGACTTTGTGAAAGCGGGGGAGGCCGTTCTTCCCTACTGCAGAGTTGCAAAACTCTGTAAACTCCAACTTCTCTTCACCCTGTGGAAAGGGTTTTGACATGCCATGATGTCAAAGAAGCAGTTAACTTAGTGTTGCTTTGTTTTCCTAACGTATCGGGTTGTTTCCCCTCCTTTGGGGGGCTGTAGAGCATACCTTTGTTTTACTGTATTTGACTTTTCCATACAGCCTGGTTTTACAGCTCTCAATAGCACCTTAATGTTTGCATCTATATTTCTCCTGTTCTGAAGGACAGACATAATCATAGTCCAATCAGGAAATTAAAAAAAAAAAATTAAGCCTCACCCCCCAAGCCTTTCTGTTGCACCCTACAGGGGCTGAAAGTAGTCAGCCATACATTTTCACAGATCAAGCCTGTGTTAGGATTGCGTCTTTGGGTTTGTGCAGGATACCTGTGGTTAGGCTGACTTCTCTAATTTCACAGCTGTGGAAACCCCACTTTCCACTGCATCCCTCCTAATTGATACAGTAACATCCTGACCATGAAGAAGTATTTTCCTTGGCTTGTTTCCTTCTACACAGAGGCAAGTGGGTGCATTTTGTCCCTTGTCTCCCCTCGCAAGACATTAAGTTTTAATGCTTTCTTTTGGTTATCAGGGTTGCTGTAGTACTGTCCATCTACCTCCAGCTACTCTAGTAAATATTTTGCGTGGCAGCTCTGACTGTCATGAAAATTAATGAAACATCCTAGGTAGAATGACTGAATTTACCTGATGTAACTGATGCAACCCAGGGTCTGCTTATTCTAGCAGCAAACTTCTGTTATGATCAGTATCGGACCTAGCCAAAAGGCTGTCAGACAAGCTTGTGCGTCTTTAGCTCATTAGAAATGGTGAGTTTTCTCTCTCCCTCTCTAGAACTGACATCCAAGCCTTAAAAATGATTAAACAGTGATTCTTCCCTGGTATTTCTCTTTCCCATGTCTTCAGAAGCAGGCCACATTTTTTCTTTGTGGGCAATATTGTTGTTAGTAAGTTATACTTGCTACTGTGCCCAACTCTAGCCTTGTGAAGGGCTCTGGTCAATGAACACTCAACTGCGCATGTGAAGGTTGCTCCGCCCATTTCAGGGGCCAAGAACTTGCTCTTATTCTCATGGGGACATGGTTAGTATTGAGTGGAAGCATCCTTTGTACTTCAGTTTGTAACACAGGATTTAAGCTGGTCTTTTGGTTTAGCTTTTCAAATACTCAATACTTTCTGTGTTTGCTTACCCATTTTGCACCTTGATATATGTATGCAGCTGTAACAAATGTTATGTATTTGGGTCCCTCTTCAAGAGTCTCTTGAAAACTTAGAAGCTAAGAATAAATGCACCCATTCCCCTAAAGTTTTGTGGATAGAGCCCAGATGATCACAGAGGAGCAGGGTGGAAGTTTTAAAGGAACTAGTTAGCCTTTTTTGCATTGAATAGCTTGACAGAAACGGCTCAGACAACTGATCTGAGAGTATATTTTTAAGTCTGTGGCAACACCAAGAATCAAGACCCATTTGCATCCAAGCTTTTCCTCTTCACCACAGCCAGGAGTAATGAAGAGAATCTTTTCTTTCTAACTGTGGTTCATCAGTATAATAGATGTTTACAAACAATCCAATGCCTAATAAAGCTAATGGGAGCCTTTCTCAAACTTCAGCTGGGTCTGGGCTACAGCATGAGTCAGTGCTGTTGATATCTCATTTGTCTTGGACAAAGAGAGACAATTCTTTAGACAGGGTATGGCAGGGGAGCCATAGTCACCTAAGAATCATTTTGAGACAGGGTAGGGGGGCATTTAAAAAAAAAGAGGATAAGAGCAAAACCTTACTTTGGTATTGCTCAAGTTTCCTGATGATGTGTACAGTCTTCAATGCATCTCTTATCAAGCTGTGTTCCTGTGACCAAGTTTGTTTGTTGCATTCAGAGGAGCAGTGGTAAATGCATGAGCATTTCTGGATGGAGATATGTATTGCAAGAGAAGAAGATAGAAAGTACGTGATTTAAAATCATCAGTTGGCTGACTGGGTCATTATTCTGAACAGAGGCCTAAATCTGTTCCCAGAATACTGCATGCAAACTTCCCCTGAGCTTAATGTATAAGCTAGAAAGCAAGACATCTAGTCCTTTTGGACTAGATGTCCATAACACTTTGAATTGCCCATACTCTTATGTAAATATTTATTCTTCTAGGGAGCCCTGGAAGCCAAGAGCTGTATGTTTTTAACTTGACCTCACTCACCAAGTCTGAAAATATCTTGTCAGCTTCAGTGTATTATTATATTGGTGATCTGCTGAGTGCTAGCTGGAACTGTTCCCGATCCAGAGACTGTTCTCATCACAGGCACAGGAAACCTGAAATTCAGATTCATCTTTCAGTTTGGACCTTGCCTTCTGTTGGGAACCGGACTCGGAGTCTGGGACATTTCCTAATAAATGTCTCCACTGCTTACCGGGATGTTCTTTCCTGGCAGTGGAAGGATATCACTCAGGTCCTGCATGAGGCAAAACAAAACAATGAACTTCTGATCAGTGTCAAAATGGATCTGACTAGCCATCACCCCTGGAAAAGGGCACCTTCTCGCTACGAACCCTACATTCTGGTATATGCCAATGATTCTGCTATTTCAGAGCCGGAGAGTGTTGTCTCTAGTTTGCAAGGGCACCGTAATCCCCTGGTGAGGATCTTTCCCAGGACAGAAAACCATGTAAAGAGCAGCCTTGGCAAGCGACGGCGGAAACGCTCCACAAACGTCCTGTTGCCATTGCAGAACAATGAGCTTCCAGGAGCCGAGTACCAGTACAACGAGGATGAGAGATGGGAAGATAGAAAACCCTACAAAACCCTCCAGCCACGGCTGGCAGAGAGGGCAAAGAGTAAGAAAAAGCAGAGGAAAAACCATCACCAGAAGAGCCAGACTCTCCAGTTTGATGAACAAACCTTGAAGAAGGCAAGGAGAAAGCAGTGGAATGAGCCAAGGTACTGCGCCCGGCGCTATCTCAAGGTGGATTTTGCAGACATAGGCTGGAGCGAGTGGATTATTTCCCCTAAATCCTTTGATGCCTATTACTGCTCAGGAGAATGCCAGTTCCCAATTCCAAAGGTACTGTGTTTATTAATTCTTTTACATTGTCTGTTATTGTCCCATCACTATAGAGCGGGAATACTCATATAGGCTTTATAAATTATGCATTTTTTCCCCAATCTCAGTAAAATCAAGCTTGTTTGCTATTACATATTAGGCTACAGTATAAATAAGTGATATCTTCATGTCTTGTGCTACAAGGAACAGTGGTTAAAACAGTTAGTATGAAGACAGACTTGCAAAGATAATGAAAAAAATACTACACAGGAGTAGTTTTTGTCCAGAAACCAAATAGCTATAAAACACTTGCTGAAGAGTGCTAATGATGTGTGAGCTTGTTATTAACCTGTTTAACAAACATAATATAGGATAGACCCAGGAAATTGCTTATTAGACAGTAGTAATAGTGCCATGAAAACTCTGCTGGCAGACCAGAAGTGGGATCAGTCGGTATAGCACATTCTAGGGTAAATATGTGCCTCATGAGGCATTAATATTACAGTGGAAGAGTGCGTCTGTGGAGCTATAGGAGTGGTTGTGATCTCTAAATGTAAGGCAAAGAGCTGAATGAATCACTTGTATAACACCTACTGAAGAAGAGATTGGTATCTATGCAAGACCATTCTAAGCTACAACTATAAACACAGCGGATCCATGGGCAATGGATCCTGGCAAACTGACTCCCAAAATCCCTCCTTTGATGAGATTCTTCCATGTGAGTAGCAAGAAAGGGTTATGTAATTCTGGCCCTATGACTTAGACTGATGTACTTGGCTCCTTAAAATCAAATGCCCAGTCTCATTACTAGTGGCATGCTTCTCCCTGGAGCCTACCAAAACCTGACAATGGCAGTATTTAATATTGGCCTAAAAAATAATGCCTACAGGAAATTCCAGTAAAGGCAGGGCTTTTGGTCTCACTGTAACCTCATATTCAAAAGTCTTTATTTTGGACATAATGAAGCCTTAGCACTGATTTCCAAAATTTATGTGGAATTTCAGTGACTTCAGGACTCAAGTGAGTCCTTTGAAAATGACAGGTGGAGGATTGTACCAAAGGTGATGGAGGCCAAAGAGGGCGAGCTGAGGAAGGCAGACTTATGTGACTACTTCAGACAGCAATGGAGGGCTTTCAGGTTTCTGATCAAAGGAGAAAAGAAAACAGGAAGAGATATGGTCATTACCTTTGAATAAATTGGATCGTGCCTTCTACTTTATTGTTAATGGGAATCATGCTCTACCACACCAGTAACTCAGCATATGGCTTAGAAATTTTAAAAGCACTGGGCCTGGACTTTTTTCATTCTAACTTTATGGACACGAAAAACTATACAAACGCCCTCCATATCCCTCTGCTTAAGACTGGGTCAGCATTTCCAGTTGCAGCTTTGTTTAGAACAGCTTCATCTCAATGATAATAAGCGTTGCTCTGAAAGACCAGTCTTGGCTCAGAAGAAAATAGTGTGTGATACCGGAACAGTTCAGGTATTTTAATTCAAAGGAGTAAACAAGAATAAAGTGTCTTTATTTCAGCTGACCCTGGCCCCTAAAATATGCTTCACTTAAAATAAGAGGCCTACTATGGGCTACCATCAGTATCACAAAAGAAACAAAACAAACAGTGAAATATGCCTTGTACAAGCAGTGATTCTCTTGGAGGTCAGTATCAGTTAAGTTCCTACATATTTATGATAACAAGGTAAAAATGTGTAGCAGCTTCTCAGAAAGGCTTGAAAGTATCTCAGTGCAAGCCCAAAAGTATTTAGGCATTCTTTTAGCTCTCAAAAAGTAAATGATAGTTGAGGTGCCTAGCAACTCCTAGGATCTAGCATTTGCTAGAGCATAACCATTCCATCTCAGTCATTTGACATGTTTTTTTTTTTATATTTGGCAGACATGCAAAATAGGTTTTTACTTACTGAGACTGAAATGGCTTTAAGAGAAGCTCTCTCTTAATAGTCAGTGTATGTTGTATGTTTTGAGTGAGGAGCCATGCCTGATGCAAAGAGAGTGGGAAGAATTCCCTTTGCCTTCAGGAAGGTATAGATCAAACCTAAAAATGATTGGTAATGTGCATCCTCTAGATAAAACAAGGCTTTCTCCAAAGTCATTTTGAATGTAGTTGTTTTAGAAGCACTTGTTACTGGTCTCTGCCTACTTCTGAAATCTAATTTCTACTGAAATCCAATCCTGCCCAGAGCTGATGGGAAATTCCTAATTTGAGATAGAAAACAAGTCTCTCTTAAGGAGTCGAGATCAGGCTTTGAGAATATGGATCCTCTAGTAGCAAGGAGAGTAAGTATCTTCAGAGAGACACACAAAGCCCCAGGAACTAAAAGCACAGTCATAATAAAGAGGCAATGTAATAGTAAGGTTCATTTTCCTTACATAGGGCCTTCGTTAGGACCTGCACCCGCAAAATCCCTGATGTGCTCCAGAATCTCAAGGCCTAATTCCCGGAGTAGTTTCAAACCTCTGGAAACAAGCACAGTGAGCTATACAAACACTCGTGCTAGTAAAACGCCCTGAGATCAGTTGAGTACCAGTGATTCTGAAGAGGCGAAATGAATTTAATTGAAGGTTCAACTTTTGTTTGATGCTCCAAGGCATGACAGGGAAGAACTTACAGTGCACACAACAGAAGGATAGTTAACAGGTATTTTGCTTGGGTGAAAAATGAGTTCCAGCTTTATCTGTGAGTTGTCCATCTTTGGCTAATTCTCCCAAGGAATTACAGTCTGCATAAGAACATTTTCTAACATAGACTCAAATTTATTTCTGCCAAAAGCAGGTTGTGCTTTGCTGCAAATAATAGCATGGGTCTCTGATATGTCATGTTTTAACATCATCCACCCAAGTAAGTAGACTTGCAGTACTGGCTACTACTGTCATTGTAACTGAACCTAGCAGTCCCAAGGGTGTTCTCTCCCTCTTCCTCTTCACCCCTCCACTCTCCACCTGGGATAGGCATGTACAACACAATCAGAAGTGGTCTCTGTTCTGGAAGAGCTTACAGTAGAAAAAGGTGAGAAAAAAAAAAAGGAGAAATGGGTAGGCAAATCACAAAAATTAAGGTCAAAAGGTCTGAATGCCATGAATTAAGCCTATAGCCCAAGTTTATCAGTGCCTTACGAGGATACCAATTTTCCTCTGTGAACTCTTGCTCAAAGATCTGATCCTGCCTTTCTGTGCAAAACTGCCTACACGTGGTTGGGTCAGGATATAAAAGCAGAGTGTTAAGAGTTATTTAGACATTGTGAAGCTGAATACTTGCTGCCATATGCTACAGAGAGAACTAGTTTGTTACGAGAGCAGGTAGTTGAAACCCTGTCATAAGTCTGGTTCCCTGAAAGCAATTGCTAAAATTTCTGTTCATGCTGGAATTCTGGAAATATATACACATATATATATATATAAAGATGAAACAAGCATCTTTCACAGCCATGTGTTATTCTTGAGCCATACATAATAGCTGGTGCTACTAATAGGACTGCATTTGCAAAATGATACTATAACCATCAGGCAATAACAAACTAATCTGTGCCTATGGGTATATAATGTTCCCTTGCTGAGGGCGAGCTCCTAAAGTTGACAACCTGTTGGATAATTAAGAACAGATGTGCCTCTTCCCCCTCCCTCTCCACCTCCAAATATTCTGGCCCTACCCTTTCCCTGATTTCAATTAGCTGGTGTGACTGCTGTCAAGCCCACATGTGCTGGGCTTGCAGAACACCACGGAGCATACAGGCCAGGCAGACCTTTTCCCAGGTCAGGAATGAAAGCTCATAACTGACATCATTTGCCCCACTCCTAAATACATCTCTAATGAAATTCAACAGGGTAGCAAGTCTCCCAAGGATGCATGTAGGTTAGCAGGTGCAGCCTTAGCCACAGCTGGACTCATTCACAGATTTGGCAGTTTGGAGTCAGCTCAGTTTTTCCCTCCCACTGCTCCTCCTGGCCTCCCCTCCCTCCTCTCCTCTTAATAGAAAATCTTTGCCTGTTTTTCATTAGCCTGTGCTGGACAGAGCATATGCAGCCTTGAGGCAAAGATGACCTAACTCCCCCCTACTTATATGCAGGGCATAATGCCAGTTCAGTACTCCAGGGTGGGTTTTGGTTTTCTGAAAAGCACTCAGCTTTGGGCTTTACTCTGGTCCCAGTTAAATTCCCCATTGGCAGAAGCAGAGTTATGCCAAGGCTAGTTATCTTCAAAATTGCACCTTAAAGGCCAGGAGCGCTGTATTCATGACAGACTTCAAGTCAGTACAGAGGACGTTCTGTATCAAAAGATACCCACATAAAATAGACCCATTTCTTGCTGAGCTCATGTATAATACAGTAACAGAGGGTATCTGGGCTATTTTCACTGATACTATAAGGTCTATGAACAATATTTGAGATCAGTTCTGTACATAAAAACATACTTGCTTCTGAACAACTCCCTGGGATATAATATAGCTCAGGGCCCAGCCCAAAGAGGGAACTCAAGGAAGAATTTAAAACTCCACCCAGTCAGATTGACTGATTAGCTGTATCAAAACCTCAGCCATTACAAAATGGCATGGTGCCATAAACCAGTGAATCGCTGGTCTCCTCTTCAGTATAATATAATTATGTCTGGTAATTTCAAACTTGGCCAGCAGAAAACACAAAAGAAGGAAAAAAGAATGTGCACTCTTTGGGAAACTGTACCAGTGGTATAGATTTCCATATCTGAAGAGAAATGAAGGGTTTCCAGTGAGACCTTAACCTGACATATTCTGAAACTTGTTTTGAATTCCATTTCCACTGGCAATGGGGATAGCATGTCAATTTCATTTAGACTGTTTTAACCTTTTGACATCTGATCAGAAGGCTTAGAAGACCTAGCTTTTTGCCCCTGATGACTTTTGTGGCATCTGCTCCACTGGAATGGAGTAAGGCAACAAGCCTGCATGCCACCTGAGCTTTCACACCCTTTTGCAAGTAGAATTGATACAAAAATTTGAATTGTGTACAAATCTAACAAACTCTAAAAATCCTTATAAGCTACTGCTGATTAATATAGGTGTTCTTGAATTAAAAACAAGCAAACAAACAAATGAAAGTGTCTGTCTTGAGATCTGCTAGCTAGATTGACAGAAATGCCTTTGTAACCATGCTGGCTAACCTACAGCCTTTAAGAGGTTAGTGCAGCAAGCTTTGCATTTGTATTTAAAACAGAACATCACCAAGAACTTCCACCCCATTCATCTGGTAAGATAGTACACTTAAACAGTAATGGGCAAAAAATCAGGTAAAACTCCTATGTTTAAAAATGGATCTGAATCCCAAAAATACTTAAGAACTTTCTAAATCTCTTGAAGGATAAGCAGAAGCTAGGAATATGCACTATTTGTTGCTCAGGCTCTCTGCATGCAAGATGGGTTCCTTATCAGAAGGAGGAAAACTGCTCAGATTACATTTAACACATACATAAAGAATAGCTGAATGCTCCCAAGTGAATCCTTTCCAATTCCAATCCTTTCTGTGTCAAATGGTTCCTGTTCTCGCTTGAGACTAGTTTTGACAACTATGATATGGAAAAGTCCGTTCTGATTCAATTCTGTTGAAAATCACAGAACGTCTGTCTCTGTAAGAAAGAAGAAAAGCACAATTGGCATCAGTCGGAAGCTATGTTTTCTTAAGTGGGGACAGGTTAGACATCCATGTGTATTGCCAGCAGAACTGGAAGCAGATACTTTAAAACGTACTAAGAGGCTACATAAATGATATAATGAGCCAGAATATCACAGTTATTTCTGTGCTTTTTGCATGCAAGTTTGTTAGGATTTGCAAATCAGGTGGTTAGATATCTAATCCTCATCACTGATTTTTCGAGAGGCAAATCATCTCTCATACCAGCAAAACTGCAGATTGCAAATTTGGTCCAAATAATCCTGTTACATATATTTCTTTGTGGCATCTGACTGAGCATATCTAACCATGTGATTCCCAGGGTCTTTGTGTAAGTGGAGCTCTCAAAAGCATTGTTAAAATTTCTCTCTCGCCAAAAAAAAAAAAGTCTTAGGCTAAAAAGTATACTTGTGCATTTCTCATGCTCACCTACCATAAGTACTACAGATATTTGGTTCTGGAAAGGTTTAGGGGTTCAGAGGTAAAATGTAATATAAGCATTTTTCAGTCGTCTGACTGGTCAGATTTTGCTTTTTTCTTATAACAAACCAAAATGTGCTCCCATTTACATGAATATAAAGCCAGGAAACCCTGTCCTTTGGAACAAAATGTCACCTTAATATGAGATACAGCAGACTTGGGATTTGGGGGCTCTGTTATTCAGTAATGTCACTGATTATGTATGTTACAGATGAAAGGTGTGTTTATTCATAACATAATCAAATTTACAATGGAACAATTTGAGCTATTTGGCAGGGAAGATGAAGAAAACAACGAAACCTTGCAAGACAGCAAACTGGCACAATTAACGCGATGGTGTAAAGTACTGCCATGCTCTCCTCTGTACACACCTGATCCACTTTTGTTATTCCTGATGCACTCACATTCCATCAGACTAACTTCCCAGCATACAGGTTATATTTATTTAGCTCCCCTAATGAATCAGCCTACTAGTGTAAGGTTGACTGCCTCACTCCTGCCATACAGGTTTTATGACTAAATTGCAGCCTGCATGTAACTGATTTCACAGGGGAAGAGACTTCCTTGACCTACAGGTACACCTTGTTTCAAGGCCTGCTGCCTGGGCGTTTTCCTAGAAAGGCACGTCCCACAGAGAGCCAGAGGCTGCCCTGTCCCCAAGAAAGTTGTGGAGCAACAGTGACATCCAGTGGCCAGCAGAACCAGGCCAGATTCGCATTCCCAGCTGCTGGCTTAGGCGCATAGTGATGGCAACTGGAAATGGTCCTGAGTAAAAGACACTGTGTACAACCAGACAGCCTTTTGGTCTCCACAGGGCCCTTTTGTTCCAAAACAGTATAGAGTACATGGGTCCATTCTGACATGGGTGCATTTTCCTTTTATGCTTTATCTTTCTCTTGCAGGCCTTGAAGCCCTCAAATCATGCCACCATCCAGAGTATAGTGAGAGCGGTTGGGGTCGTCCCGGGCATTCCCGAGCCTTGCTGTGTTCCTGACAAAATGTCTTCTCTTAGCATCTTATTCTTTGATGAAAATAAGAATGTGGTTCTTAAGGTCTACCCCAACATGACAGTGGAGTCCTGTGCATGCAGATAACAACTCAGCGGACCCTTTTGAAATGCTGAGGTGATCGGTTGCTATTTTGTTATTGTTTTTCATGATTTCTACTTTTTGTTTGCACTGCCAATGCATTTCATTCTGAAAAAAGAAAATAAACAAATCCGAATAAGAGAATGGAGTGGATTCTGAATAGAAATTCCAAGGAAGGGCAATATGAAAACTTAATGCATCTTTGGATTTGACCAAGAGGTAAGTCTTGGCAATGGGGACTGACTGTTTCTGTTGAAATACAGAGATGAAAGAGAAATTTACAGAAGACTCTTCAAGATTTTAGAGACTGTCAGAAGGACAAATTGATCTATTTTTGTACAAGATTTTGGAAAGAGCAGTAGCTGTTAATTCTTGTCTCCGTTCTTCTAGTGACTAATGGGAATGGAGATTAGAAATATACTATTCATTTTAAAGCTAAGCTTTCTGCTTTAGATTACTGATTAGAGCGCAGCAAGTAAGAAAAAAACTAAACAAATCCAACTTTCTAAGAGCCTTAGATAATCCAACTAAGACATGTATTTCCTCAGTATGACATGTCACTGATTGTGTATGTATATTCATTTTCATTAACATATTCCTTGTAATTCAACTTTTTAGATCTCAGTCACCTCAGTCCAAAGAAACAAACCCATTACTGCTGCATTTGAAATTGTAGTATCTCAAAAGCAAAGACTTTTCTTTCATGCCACTGTGAAACTCAGTGGGCTAAGGATATGAAAGTACCACACTCGGTGAAGCAGCTGAGTGACTTGTTCGTAAGAAATATTCCATAAAATATTTGCAAATAATCTATGCACAAATTATGGTAGTTGATTCCTGACGTAAAATTATTTGGTGCATAATTCTTGATCTGTAAACTTTCACTATGATTAATTTATCAAAACTGGCTCTGGTTGGTGAGTTTTAATTGGTTACATTAATTTGATGTAGCATGTTTTTCTTCTCACCTTGGTTCACTTCTGCTCTTAAAATCAAATTTGTTGCACCTACGCTGTCAATTTAAGAATTCTTTGCAGTAAGTTTTGCACAAAAAAATATAAAATATGCTTTCAATTAATTTATCCATCAGCATATTCATTTGGGAAACTACTAGCAGAAAAAAAGTCTAATGGATCATATATATAACTGCAAAGAGCTCATTCTGTTATCTGATGACTATTCACAGAAATACTTAGAAACCCCAGTTCCATTTCCACCAACATAATCTAGAAAGGATAATGTTTTTTTAAAGCTTCTCTGGCTGGCAAGAACAATGTTTAGATTGCACTGAGGATCAATGCTGAATAACCTTTTCCATAAGTTATCTACGTGACTTTATGAAATGGTGTCCTTAAATAGCAAATATGCATTGTGAATAAATTAATTTCTAGTCATCATGAGAGTTAGATTCTCTACTTTGGAGTCAGCAGTTTCTTAGTATATTGAAGGTGATTACAATATTCCTCTGTAAATGCTTTTTTTGCAGGTTCATTGCTATTTGAGGCTATTTCAAACACTCAGTCATTGATTTTTGTATTTGGTCACTGGTGCTATCATGTTTACCAACCTGAATAATGTGCATGTTTGTGAGAGGTGTAGACTTGGAACATAATAATCTATGAATTCTTTCAGCAATCGCTTTTTACCTGCACAAAGACCAAATTGAAGTTGACAGGAATTTCACTTCAAAAAAGAACCACAGATTAGGCCCAGATGCAAGTTACGCTTGCAGCCCTTCCCTTATCCTGCTTGAATAGCATACCCCTTCAGTCAGATTCCCAAACAGTGTAATTTGATACCTTTTTATGGGCTCTAGTTAAGTGATATTAATTAGCACAGCCAGCAGACCTGATTGTTGTATGTTAGGTTTCCAAGAGCTCTGCAGCAGAATATTGCCTTAAAGGATCTGTGTCATGGAACTCTAGGAGAAAAGTCTCCCTTTCCAGACAACAACTATCATCTTCAGCACATAGGAGTAGAACTGCCATGAAAACAAAATAGTAAAAGTACAAAGCTGTGTACATTTGATCGACTTCTATACGCAGGAGAAAAGTTAGATATTCTGTGTGCAAATCAGACTTAACAACTGGAGGAGAAAATACTATGCTTTTCTTCTGACTCAAGTGGAAGACAGTTGCAGACAACAAAGAGCTGTTCCCTGCCCAGGACTCGGGGGATTGCTGTGCTGCTGTGTGCCTTGGTGACGAAAAACAGCCCGGGGGGCTGAGCCGTGCGAGCAGCTGCATGGGGCTGAGCCTTGCGAGCTCGCGTCGCGACTTTACGGACAGTCCCGAGCACCGACGTACACCAGGCTGCCCGTACGGCAGGACTCACCTTGTGACCTTCTCGCCGTTGGCCCGCTCCTCGGCCTGGTGTCCCTGGGAAACTCGGAGGTTGCCTCTGGCGGAGCTGGAGGCAGGCTCGGACGACCAGTGGGCGGTAGGCCCCGCAAGCAAAAACAGGTGCTGCTTTCTGATAGTTGTCTTTTGTAAGAGCTGCAAAGATAAACATGTATCTTATCCAATGAAGTGTGAAAATGGCTGCTAATAAAAACCAAAAACCAAAAACATGCAAACTCAAACAATAAACCTAACCAAATCTAAGCCTCAGCTTGTAGAGAACTTGTCACAGAAGAGCATTCACACAGCCTTACGAGGCCACCTTGGCTACATGACGACGCTTCCCGTTGCTTTCTTCAAAGTCAAGTGGCTGGCGAGGAGTGACGCTTTCTCACCATAATCACTTCCTTTACAATATTTTCAATGTCCAGTACAAGGCTAAATGCTCTTGTCCTCCCCTTGTCCTCCGTAGAAAGGTGGGAGCTGCTCAGCAATTCTTCAGGGCTGGATTTCTCCCCAAACCGCCTTGTGTTAGGATTACAACACACTCCCTTCATAGAGCAGCAAAAGACTACGTCCTCCCAAACACAGAGCACAGCAGAAAGCACCTGGCAGCTGTCAAACTCCCCACAGGAGGCTGGAGAGTCACCACACTGCAACGACCCTGCTCCCTAGGGGAAGGGCAGCCTGTCCCCAGGAAACCGGCAAGGCAAGGCAAGGGGGTGCAGGCCCCAGCGTCCTGCGTCCTGGCAGGGAGCGGGAGCTGCTGAGCCTTTGGGCAGAAGGTCAGGACTGTGCCCAGCTCCGGTCAGTCTGCGCATGGTGCCTTGCACAAGCGGCGGAATGGGGCCCTCAGAGGATAACATGGAGATCAGGTGCACCCTGGCCCACCCCTTGGGTGGCAGCAGAGTCATCCAGAGTAGACTAGGGCACTCGGCAACCAGGCTTCACAGCTTTTGCATTCCAAAAGGGAAGTGCTACTAAATGCAGGTGCTTACCTGGCACGCCAGTCCGGGACCACAGTGGTTGAAGTCACTCTCTGGAACTGAAGCTGAGTTCAAGGCTACGAGGGAGCCTTTCCAGTGCTGTTACAAGGCTGTCTGGAAATGGCTTAAAAAGCATCACCTGAAAAGGAGAGTGAATGCGTTACATTTGGTTTTCACCAGAGCACATCCAGGCTTTGTCATTAACCTTGGCATGTACCAATAGGTACAATCCTCTGAGTAAAATGTGATCTACTTCTTCCAGCTAAACACTCTGAGCGCTCTCTTCAGTTAACCACATATATGAGACGTTTTATGCACAAGACTTGTTTTTGCATTTGTATTCCTAAGTGAATTTTCTAAATAAAGCCATGTGTATCATCAGTAATGTATTAATCACATAAACAATGATCTCTGTATATAACTATGTATTAGTAGGGACTTTAAAATAATTTACAACTAATGTTATTAATCACCATTTTAGTCCTAAATAAGTGTGTGGGACTCTTCCCCCTTATTCTATATTTTGGCAATACTATTGATTGATAAATGGCTACGCTTTCCATCTAACTATAACGTATTTAATGCCAGTGCGTTATTTCTATGGCTGGCTCAAAAGATGGCCAAGAGAATGGCTTGAGCTGTGGAAGCTCTCCCTTCGGATAGGCTGTCCTGAAGGATGCAGCACTGGCCTTGCTCTGCCAAGGACTCCACTGGGAGTAGAGTCCCCAGTGAGTAGCAGTCTATGAGCACAGCACTGCAGAAAGTTCTTGAAAATCTCACTCTTTAAGGCTGAATGGGAAATCTCATGGTACACGGTAATTGTGCAAAATATGGGATGCAAAATAAAACATATTTATCCTGCAGTGTGATACCTTGACCCAGGAGAACTGTCAATTAGAATGAATGATACTGTTCCCCTGAAGAGTTACAAAGGTGGGCTCCAGGTTTTTAATTTGTCTAGGACCCTGAACTTGCAAGGAGCTGAGCACCCTTCATGAGATGCCAAGCACCCCGAGGTTTCCAATCACTGTGCACCACTCCAGAATTGGCCCAAAAGCTTCGAATGCGCACCTCTGAGGAGATGCTTGATAGTTTGCAGGAGACTGACATGTTGTTAAGCAACTCATTTCTCTTTGTAGAAACAGCCTTTGTAAATGATTTCTGTTTAGAGGTTAATGCTTGTACAGACAATGCCAGTTTAAAAACATTAAAATTACCAAAAAAAAAAAAAAGAAAGATATTTTGTATATGGAAAGAAACTTTTACAGATGCTTTTAATTTATTTTATATCTGTTGCCATCTTGTCCTTTTAATATTTTCCTCTTTTTCCTCAATGCTCTTAAGACAATACAATTTTCACTGTCACTGCAAAGATGAAATGCTAGGATCATAGTCAAGTTCACAAGGACAGGTTGCAGCAACACTGTGAAGGGCATGTTTCACTACTGATGTATAAGCTTGCCTGATTTGTATTTGTTTCCCTTCAATAATAGGAAACTTTTACTATGAACTCTGGAAAAAATATAAAATAAATCACTTCTTTTTACATGAAAATTCATTTTTCTGTGTTTTACTCAGGTCTTTCCAAGAACATTTAAGTCCACTGCTTTGTGTGTTCAGCACTCTGGAAATGCATCCATCTCAAGTGCATGTTTGCAAAGGCAATTCAAACAGAGGTTGTGTTTATAGAGCAAAGTACATAATGGCGGGGGAGTGGATGCTATGGACTGAGTTAAAGGTTAGCTAGTGTGACAGTAATAAGCAACAAAGGTTATTGGACTTGATCCAAGGCCCAAAGGTGTCAATGGGTCCACTGGCTTTACTGAGTTTTGGTTGCAGCCTGCAAAAATAGTGCAAAAATTATGGTGACACTCAGCAGTTTCTCAGAAGAATGGGGCAGCCCTCACTGCTTTCTTGGTATGGGCAGAACACAAGGCCGCTGTGTTAAAACCAAGAAGAAAAGTATTTCCTGCAGCATTACTGCATATTGCACAGTGCTACAAACTGAAGCGGGGAATGGAAACCTCAAGAATTGTTGTTCTGAAGGGATTCCAGCAGGATGCTCTCCTGATGCCCCCTGGTCCAACTGAATGAGGGCAGTGAGGTGGGCACAACTTTGTCTCTTCTGTGTGGGCCACATAGGAGGCAGCAGGTCAGTAGCTCCCGGGCTCTGCCCACCACAATGATGCCAGTGTCTCTATTACCTCCCTCTTCTACAGACTTAAGGTACCCAGACCTGGGGAATACACTGTAATGCCACAAAAGTAAATGAGAGTAGGCAGCTGACTGCTGCTCCCCTGGGACTACATGCCCAGTAAAAGGACAACTCCAGTCTGCTCTGTCCCTAGGAAGCATGGAGAGCTTTCCTCCTGTCATTGACCTCATTTTCTGAGCAGCTGGGAGGTGCCCCCATATCATGGTAATAGGGGAATCCACATGGCCACACTGATAAGGAGCCTACCTAACCTGTTCCATTTGTCTTCAATAAAAGGAATGTTTTAGTACAGACCAATAGAAAAGAAACTGTGGGCAGAAAACAAAGCCAAGGTATGCATTGCCTTCCAGGTACAGCAGTACTTGTCACAGCAAGAGCACTCCCACTTGAAATACTGCAGGGCAGATCTTAGCAAGGAGTGTGCTCAGCTTCTCGCCCTCTCCCAGTAAGGAAGAGCCAGCTCCTGCAGCTCTGCCAGTCCTGGCTGTGACAGCTCCCAAAGGCCACATATTCGTTTAGTCAGACACAAATACAGCAGGCTGGGAACTGTTACCCACCAGAAATGCTTTTTGCTGTAGCCCAAGCACAGTTTCACCTGAGTAAAGGGCGACATATGAGCTCAATGAATTAGGACACTCCCCTGTTTCGCTTTGCTACTGATAGTGTAAAGTGCCACGGAGGGCATGTTTCTGTTGCTCTTCCTTTTAGTTAAGGAAGCTGATCACTATCACTAACATAAGCTCTTGGCAGCCACACGCTAAAATTGGGTACTATGCAATGCTGCTGGGTGCCTTGTTGAGTCACATTAGAGTGGATTTAAGCTTTCTTCCTCTTGAGTGTTTTCTGTGTAGCAAGACAGTACGTAAGACAATCTACCTGGGGATGGACTTTGCTTCCCCAGTGAGTAGCTCGATTATTAAGCAGCTGGGCCTCCCGCTATTAGCCCAATCATTTAATTGGAATATTCATTCTGTCTTTTCACGTTGCCAGCCTGCAGCTCAGTAAGTGTAATGGCTTCTGGCCCAGCAAGTGCATCAGACAAGCTCTGAAATTACATTTGCCACTTTGCAGCTGCTATACATCAGTGAGGTACTGGCTAATGGAGGTCAGCCCGAGTTTACCCTCGACGTCTGTGCATCAGGATTTCACCTTATTTCAGTAGCATTGTACCAACTCCTACCAACTAACAATCGGTCACAGTGTAGCAGAAGTTGCCATAATCAAACATTCATGAGTGCTGCAAAAGGACGCACTTAAAAGACTGATGCAAATCTTGCTGATGTCTTGCTGCTATCCCCAAAATAGCAGCAGTGGCAGCCTCATGTTAGTACGGCAAGCAACGAATCAAGGACTCTGAAGAAACTAATTACCCACCATTCTTGCAGCTAGTGTGCAAGCCAACTTACTTAGAAACTGTAATTATTTCTGATTCACATGATTTTGCATGCCCTGTACAGAACCAGGTTCTTATCTCTAGCCCCTGATAACAAGAGGAAGACTAGAGAGAGGACTGGATCCTGAGAGGAAAAGATGCTTTTGACTACCTGATCATTCCCAGCTGGTCCTCTCCACCAAGCAGCTTGCACATGTAAGGTTCAAGGAAGACAAGTTGTGACTGTCCATGATTATGGGTGCTAGCGCTCACAACAGCAGCCTAAATGAGAGCGCCTCGGTGATCCCACCAATCCTTTCCCCCTTTCCTGACCAATGTTCTGCACTTCGACTAAAGAGGTACTCAAGGCTTGGAGGATTAGTATTTGAGTCTGAGCTTTACACACACACTTTCCTCTCGTACAGCTCAGGGAGCCACTCAAAGAGCACCCCAGGCTTACCTTGTGTCTTGATTCCTGCCTGTTAGATGGATGTTATTTATTTATTAACAAAAAGAGGCTTAAAGCTCAAATTGAACTCCAGAATGTTCCCTATTTAGGTGATCTAATCAGCACTACACAAAGCAACAGGAAAGCATGTTTACAGGTAAGAGTGTCCAAGCTTGGAGTTGCTTACTAGTAATCATTCATAAATCAAACTTTCCATATAAAAACATTAACTCTCTCCTCTAGAACAAAGCTCAGTTTTTAGCTGCTTGTTTTCAAGAGGAACAACCTTTTCCCATAAAACTTAAATTTAGATCTTACCTCATATAAGGGGGACACATGTATGTTTCAAATGATGAAGAGGAATAGGACTTTCATGTATGAAACCTGCACAAAAACACTTTTCTTCTTGCCACATGGAATTTTCATAAGAGTTTTATGAAAAGATGCTGCCTTCTTCTCCGCTTCATATTTCACTTTGAGGTTCTTTTATTGTAACACAGATCAGAGAATCTCATTCTCATAAATGAGGTTTTTTTTAGCGAGCAGCAGGTTATAGTGATTTCCAAGAGAATGTGAAATGATAGTGAACAGAGACTGCTGGATCTAATTTAGAATCACTTTTCTTTTTTTAGCTTTCCATAATTTTAAATTTTTGTCATTAATTCCACCTCTCTACATGTACTCTCTACATAATTTCCTCCTTGCTTTCCACCCATAAGAATAATTATCTTGTTTTACTCATGCAGCATTCAACTTCTTTAGTACTGCCTCCCTTTTTCTCTAAAGTTGCACTGCTCACAAAATATGCTAATCATAATGTGGTGTAAATCCATTTCATTGGCCTTTCATCTCATAAGATCTTACACATTTAAAAAGCCCCACTTGTGAATAGATATATTCAGGTGTGTGTATATGTATCCCTTGATTTACTCCTGCTTGTTCAGCCTCAGGTCAAGAAGTACAGAATTCAGTCAAAAATGCTAGAATGCATGCCAGGAAGCAAAATAACTATGCTACAGCATATAAGGAACTCAGAGATACAAAGTTTGCCACTGTTGTGCTGCCTTGCAAAGAATAGGAAGGAGGGATGAATTTATGGGAGCATACTGCAATACAACTGAAATGATGGGCTTTAATTTTTTTCTTCTTTCTTACACTTTCTGCATAGTCTCAGGTAAATCAAATTGTCAATCTGTCAAAGGTGACTAAACCCAAAGCTACAAACAGCTCTTCAGAGGGACGTAGAAAGTCACCAAGTTGCTTAGATCCTTCATGACCTCAGCTCCCACTTTGTCAAATAAGGATAACGATGCTTTGCCCCACTCGACCGCAAGGTCCTGGGGGACCAAGGCAGGGGAAACCACGTCTGTTCAGAGATAGCTTGCTGAGCAGTGGGAAGAGAAAAGAATCTCAGCTGCTTTTTGTGGTAACTCAGACCTGTCAAATACTCAGCTACTTCTGGATGTTGCTGGCAGGACTTGTGGACAGATAGGCCCATCCATTTTTTTTGGCCTAGTTGGAGGCCTGACCTTGGTCTTGAAAGCTGGGGGCTAATCTGGGACAAGGAAGACGATGTTGCCCGAAGCTACCCCAACATCTGGGCAAAAATCATGGAGAAGGGGTTGCCACCTGAAACCCAATCAGATTCCATCCGCTGCAGAATACAGCTGCCCATCCTCTTGGTGCTGCTTTCCCTGACCAAAAGTAAGTTGCACCTGCATGCCAACAGCTGCACTAGCTTCCAACGCACTGTCGGATGTAAACCAAGGTGTTGATTTTGAGCTATAAAGAACTTCATGCCTTGTGTTTTTGACTTCTTTCTCTCTGTTTTAGCCTTGCTGAGGTCAGCTGGGACTTGTCCCTAAAGGATTTATCTGGGCACAAAGTATTCCCTACAGCGCAAGTACAGTTGGGAATTTACCCTCTGATTTCTGCTCTGAAGATGGAGTTTGTGCATCACAAAACTGCACAAGCACTCTTGGCTGCACAGTGGAGTAAAGAGCCATGCAAAATCATTTCGAAAGGACTGACCTGAATGAGGAAGAACTCAGGATTTGAAGAGGTGTGGCAGCATCAGGTGAACTTGAATGGCTCCAAGAGATCTTTTCTGTATTGACTACAGTAGAACAGTGCATTTTGTAAGCCGAAATAAATCAATATGTCAAATCTTGGCAGTAACAGCTTGAAGTGGCTGAGG